ATCGCTTGATTTAATGTTACATTTTAGGAATTTACGTTTCTGGAATTTTGAGATGATTAGTTTCGTGATAATCTTGAGTGATTTGAGTAAAGGTGTTAAGTTTTTATAATAATATGTTAACGTATCATGTTTTTGTAATAACTATTGTGAAACGTAGACACTGAATTAACTAAAAATTTTACGTGAAAATATTGAGGAAAGCTCAACTAGTTTCGAACCACAGAAGCGTTCTTCCCCCTCTTTTCTCTATTTTTCACGTGAATTACTCGCGATTTTTAGTTAATATAAACGTACCGGTTCAGGATGCTTTGATAGTTCAGTGGGTATAGCGTTAATGTTTTTATGTAATAGGAAGCAAAAGAGCAAACAGATTACCTGATGGTAAGCGATCGGCACCGCCCATGGACACCAGCAACATCAGAGGAGTCACAGGTGCATTACTTTTAGCAAGTTAATGTGAAGTCAAGTGTTTGAGTAGCTTAATAAGATCAAAGATATTATTAGGTTTTTAATATCAAAAGTCATAATTGCATTGTGTTTTCAGTTTTGTCCAGTAGTCGGCCATAAATTTCATTATTACAAAAACATCAGAAGATGGATGTTAAATAAGAAAGTTCTTTTCACAACATATTCAGAGAATCACGTCATGTATACAATAAATGACAAGAAACTTCAAGGTCATTAAACCTTTAAGCCACTGCTGGAGAGTTTACAGAAACCATTTTTACTGAAAGTTAAACATTTTAGAGTTTTGTTCCAACACAGAATGTGAGCTTGTCAACTCATATTAACTTTAGAAAAGTTTATCTTAGGATTAGAAGCTGGGACCTTTCTCAACAAGTCTCATTTTGAAATATTTTAAAAGACATTATTGAGTACTAATTTTCTGCCCGCGGTTTCACCCACATGGTCAAAGGAAAACAGGTAGCTTATATGACTATTCGCCCTTGTATCTGTCTTTAGATACAAAAATCATAAACTTCAGTGCACAAAAATATATCTTATATTTTTTGTCATTAAAGTTAATTTTCAACTAACCATGTTGAAGTAGGTATTCAGGTACAGGTCTATATAGATACACTGAAAAGATGCAAAGACTTAGACCCACATATAAAACAAGACCTCCTTAAATTACATTCCAACGTCTAAACAAAACATAACTCAATCTTCAAGCAAAATTGCCTTCCTACCATTTTTACTCAAACAATGAAGTCTGCCTACCCCTTTAGCTGTATGTAGGTAATATTATTAATATCACGATATGTTCACTCCGGCCCCATTTTGCGGAATGTCGAATTGTTTCATATGATTTATTGTGGTTGCGCCGCACCGAGCTGCGTGCTGTCATACACACGCGGCAGATGGAGTTAGGAGCAACTAGAACCGGCTCGCAGCGGTTAGAAGTGGTTTGAACTGGATAGAAGTGGTTAGAAGCAGTTCAGAGTGGCTGTATTCGGTTTATTGTTGTTGTTTATGATGATAGCGAGTCTTTTGTGTGTAAACATTGATTGGGGATTCATAATTAGCTTAAATTAGCGTAAAAAAAATAATAATACGGGGATTATGTTCAACAAAAATGGAGGGTTTTAAGTGCGATGTTATTACTATACAGTATTTTATGTGCATCGCTGATATTTTCAGTAGCCAGACACCGTGACCAAGAGCATTTTTTTAAGGGGGGAAAATCATCGAATGACTGATCCTGCCTGGGTTAGGCGGGAGGGAGTGTCAGACTCTTACTGACTAAAAACCACCCCGTTCCTTCTCCTGCACGTCGAGCCGGAGCCCCGGTTACCCGTTAGGTTCTCCGCGAAGAATCTCAATTTATGTTTAAACGTCCAAAAAGATTAATCGCTATCTTTCAAACCTAAAAAACCATAATTCAAAGAAAAACAATATTAAAAAACCCACAAAAATCCGTTGAAAGAAATCGCAAACCACTTCCAGTTACACAGACTCTGCACAAACATCTGCGGTGCTGATATTATTTTCTATTTTAACATAACATCGCTTGAGTTATTGTCGTTGTAGGGCCAAACACATTACACCCCCGACTTGCGAAGTCGGGTAGTGATTTGAGTACACCCTAAAAGAGGGCTTGCTGGGTAAAACCCTCTAATAATATGACCACTGAAGAGTTGGGTATGAGTGCAGTTTGAGCTAGTTTTAGGCTAAAATTCAGGCTTTAGTTGAAGTTATAATGGCTCCAACCGTATGGTGATGGACATTACATTAGTACATTTGTCACCCAACCTTAACTATTCCCGCACGTGTCATAAAAGTCGACTAAGCGTCTATTCATTTGACAGAGGCCGGGCAGTAGCGTTCTTTTGAACTGATGATTAAGATTATTAGAAATCGAATCTATATTTTGAAATGAGCACCTAGCTTCACCTAGCTTCACTGATGGACTGACTGACAGACTATTATTAATTTTGTATTTGTTGACGTTTCAAAAGTATCAAAATATGGTTTAATTGAAATAAATGCTTTGACTTTGACTTTGAAAAAAAAAAACATTTAGTATGTTTTTTAAGAAACTCATTGGTAGCCAATTCGTTTCGCCATCTCCTGTTGGGTTTCCCGCGACGTCTCTTGACGTTGAGTGGGCTCCACTCAGTATTGGATATCTATGACAAGGATTGGCCGCAAAAATCTTTACATAGAGAGAAGTAGAAGGAGGGTAAAGAGGTCTTTGCCCTGCAGTGGGACGATTATGGCTGAAAATAAATATATAAAATTAAGGAACTCATCTTATACTTATTATAAAAATAAAGCGAAAGAGTTTGTTTTTTTGTTTGTTTGTTTGAACGCGCTAATCTCCGTAACTACGTCTGATTTCAATAATTCTTTTTGTGGTAGATAGCACATTTATCGAGGATGGCTATAGGATATAAAACATCATGCTACGACCAATCGGAGCTGAGCAGAGCGTGTGAAACCGCGCAGAAGTAGCTAGTTTAAAATAAAAATAAAATAAAGTAAACTAAAACAGCTTTTATTTCTTGCATTACTTTTTGAATACAGTTTAAAATATAATGGAAAAATGGGAAGGAAAGTGTGTGCACCCTTGGTAAAACGAACAAAAATAGTGTTCTGCAAGAACCCGTGCTCATGTGAAGAAACTCATTTATCTTACACAAATACACATTTTCGATATCCTATACCTTTTTGTTTTTTTTTGAGGGGGGAAAATCATCCAATGACTTCTCCCGCCCGCGTGAGACGGGAGGGAGTGTCAGACTCTTACTGACTAAAAACCACCCCGTTCCTACTCCTGCACTTCGAGCCGGAGCCCCGGCAACCCGTTAAGTCTTCCGCGGCTCCGTATCGGCCGATATCCTATACCTAGGTATTGTAATTCAGTCCTATAGCTAAATTTAAATTAAATCTTAGTTTGGTATAAAATTCATTCATTAAGCTAAATCCCAATAAAATCTTCCGCTAACTACTTAAAATTCTGCTTACACCAAAAGAAAGACCGCTGACACAATATTATTATAAGATATCGTTCGAATTCGAAGATTTTGCTGATAATCTAATATCTTGGCTTGAGATCCGTCCAAATTTAGCTACGTCGTAAATATTTAGTGCAAGCAATGTGAGGAGTTTTAGTATGCATTGAGTCATAAGTGCAGATTGCATAAAGTGCATTTTCTTGTTTAAATTTAGATTATATGAGATTATATAATTTTATATACTTTGGACGTGGTATCTTTCTATTCTCGCTCTTATTAGTTGAAAACCAAAGTCTTTTGGGCTTTCTCTACATAAGAGAGATTCCATAGTGGAGATTATAGAATGCATAGGAACGGCAGGTTTTTTATGGGGAGAAATCGTTGATTGACTTCTCCCGCCTAGGTGAGGCGCCTATGTCAGACTCTTACTGACTAAAAACCATCCCGTTCCTACTCTTGCACTTCGAGCCTGAGCCCCTGTAATCTTTTATGTTCTCCGCGGTTCCGTATCGGCATCAGCCCTATTGGGCCCCGTTTGTAGTGGTCTGATCTTCTGTCTGTCTTCGGTCTGGTCTGACTCTTTAAAGCGCGAAAATAATAGGCAGGTAGGAGGTAAGTTTAAAGGTTCATGGAAGACAAATAGAGGTATAGTGTACCCTGTCATCACGTCACGGCTATATTTTAATATACACAATAATGTCTTTAAGTATTAAACCCAAATACAAAACAATCTAAGAATCAACCAAATCATTTTCAAGATACCTTCTTGTAAAGAAATTCAAAATGGCTGCGTAGTCTTTACATTAAATATTTAGACATGGAAATGAGAAAGTGTTCTATTCGCGATTTGTAAATATTAAAAAAATATTGTTAATTGTACGGATGGGCAGGTTTTCGTTTCAACTGCTCGGTACAAATAGTCTTTACTTTTTATACCTTTGTTTTTTGGAACGAGCTACTTCCGAGGATTTGGAAATGAAATGGTCTTTCTATTTGCAGTTTTGAAAAATAATGGCTGTTACCATTGTGATATTTATCATTCAAACACAAAATGCTTAATCTTTACTGCATTTTTTATTAAGAACGAGCGTTATAGGTACCTACTGTATTTTTTGTAGGGTCTTGCTTTTATCATGATAATGTTTTTTTTATGGCATAAGCCGGTGTACGAGCTGACGGATCACCTGATGGTAAGCCATCGGGGTCGCCCATGGACACCTGGAACACCAGAGGCGTTACAAGTGCGTTACCGGCTTTTTGGGGATTAGGCGTTTGAGGATCGTTGGGGATTCAGGGGAGATTGGGGAAGGGGAGGGTTTGCTTTTTTTAATGTTTTAAAATAATGAGTAGACGGCGCCACAATCGGTTCATATCTATCTATCGATTTGTTTAACATGAAACTCATTATTTCTCATTAAACTGTCAAACACCAAGCGGTCACCGGTGACCGCAACCTATTGTTCTATAATTGTGTCTATAATGACGGTACTCGACGAGTTAAATATGAGTTTAAAGTCTAAAATCCTTGTATCATTGTTCCAGGCCGTAGACTATTTGAAGAAACGGACACCAGCTCGCGCCGCGCTGATGATAGCGGCGGTGTGGCTGATGTCTGCGCTCGTGTGTATACCGCCCTTACTGGGGTGGAGGGTCAGCAGGCCGCCGGAGCAGTTCCCACAATGCAAGGTAAGAAAGATACTCTTACATTCGATGGTTAAGCGACTGAAGATCTTGTCCGATGTTTTGCATTTTTTGCTGTTCTAGGCATTTTGTCTCATATTATCAACTTGAAGCACTCAGGTGAGACCTAGTTATTTTTATAGTGATTAATAAATTTACACCCGCTGATTACTTTCTCTGCATCATCCAAGGGTCAGACTGGTAGGAAATGCCTGCGGCATTAAGTGCACCCATGTGCTTGTTTGTGTGCATAAAGCTTCTTTTTAAATAAATAAACTAAAAGTTATTGTGACATTTTAAGGCATGGCCTAATATCGACATATGGGTACAAAATATTGTAAAACAACTGAATAACCTTAAAAATTGACCCCTAATGACATGACGTGTAGAATTTGATCACATAATAACCAACACAATGATTCGATATTTTGTAAATTGAGCTACTGTGTCACAGACACACACACAAACACAGACACACACACACTCACACACACACAGAGACACAATATATTTATCGGAACAGAAACAATTTAAAAAAAACTTTTCAAATACGATTTCAAACTAAATTGCATTCCAAAAACCACTTTAAGAATAAAACACCAAAATTTTAATTTACTTGGCACACGAAAGCATTATCTGACAATCTGTTCACCGAGCTCCAACCCTACTAATACGCCATTATCCACTATAATACGAATTCGATATTCGTTCACGTAATCTTAGATTTAACTAGAACTTCTTTATGAGGGCAGTTTTACCTTTTTTATAGTAAAATCATCCTTCGGGTGGATGTTAACGACTATTACAGCACTTGGCAAGGTGGCCCTCTTACTGCGTGGCCCCGAAGTGCTGGCAAGAGGGACGAAATTAGGACACAGTCGGGAGAAATGGGTTAATTGATTATACGTATCTCTTATCCTTATGTTTATGTTTTTAACCGACTTCAAAAAAGGAGAATCTCAGTTTGACCCGTGTGTCTATGCGTGTGTGTATATTTGTGCGCGATTGTCTCGTTGACTGAACCGATTTTGATGTGGTTTTCAGAAAAGTGTTCGTTACATTTAGGAGAAGGTTTCAGTGTAGGTTTTAGTTTATTAAGTAGCAAAAATTTATAAATACCTATAAATACTAATAATCTTAGGTGTCTGCCACTGGGAGACGTTCCCCTAAAAATTGAATCGCTCGCGTTATCAGTTATCTAGATAATACAAGCGTAAGGCGTTAGGTGCCGTCCGGCGTTAAGGGACTTCCCCCTACTGTTTCTATGGATTGTAATTATTAATTTTACACTAATAGACATTGGAGAGTTTCAATTAACAAATTGCAGTATTTTGCAGTGCTATCGTAATAATAGGTAAAAATAATTACCAACGTTCTGTTTTATTAGTCATAATAATATTGAATAATATTGTGTTTTTTTAATAAGCCTATTAACAAAATAAATCTGCTCAGCTTCCTAACTCGCGACCTTCATGGCCCCACCTTAGTAGGCATAGAAATCTCCTTTAATGGTACACTTTTAATTATACCTTTTACGAATATACCGTCGCGACGTGACTCAGCATTAAATACATTTTCTTTTTTCTAATTTACCAGAAATTTACCTCTAAATGTTTACAAATATGAATAGCCTCTTAATGTTTTCCTTGGTTTGGTAATTAAAAAGATAGATAGTTGGGTGGTTAGATCTGGGTTCTTATTCTTTAAACTGTCAAACACCAAGCGGTCACCGGTGACCGCAACCTATTGTTCTATAATTGTGTCTACAAAACCGGTACTCGACGAGTTAAATGAATTTTTTTCTTTGTTCATATTGTCATATACCGGTCACCATTGCCGGATCTAGGAACTCAGCCTAAGATCTTTTGATTAGAGCACTCGCAATCATTCAATCAAAGGGCTTGTTACACAAAACCAAAAAAAAAAAATTAAATGCAAGAAATTCAATAATAAATTTTATTATATTTTGGTCATTTTAGTTTTAAGTTTTCTTTCAGTTATTTTTCTTTTGTATTCATTGCATGTAACCTGTACACTTTACACTGTGCCATAAGTTTATATTCCTTTTCCTGTCGCAGGTCTGCAGGAAGAAATCCCTTAAGGGATATGCAGTACCTATGTACCTCATGCTTGTGATGTATGGTATACATGATATGATAAATAAATGAATAAATACACTAAAAGTCTTCCTTCATTTTAGCAATACCATTCCTAGTTACAAAACGAAAATTCTAAACAGCATCTTAACTCCCGAATTCTACGAAACAATTCTGACAATAATCACCAAAAACATTATCCACAAAATCACCATCCGATTCCTCGAAATTAAACCCTAATTTTATTAACAATAAAATTATTAATCGCGATCTGTTCCCATATAATGTTGAAACTGTTAAACATTCAATTAATTCGAGATCAAAAGTGTAAATACTGAATTTCAGCAGCATTTCAAAATATTTGTCTCAGTTTACGCAACAAGGTAGTTATCAGGCCTAATTGAATCTATGAAGGGTCTACAGAGAATACTAATCTCCTTCTGTGGACCGTTAAGGCCATAAAAGGGATTGATAAGGCCACGATTGGAAGAATGAGAGGCCGCGGCGCTTGAGACTGTTTATGTATTTATTTTAAGTGTGTAAATAAGGAAAAGGGGTTGTGCGAATTTATTTGAAATTGTTACTTTAGCTGATGTGAATTGGAGCTATTTGTTTATTAGTTACAGTAACAGATGATTTATCGGCAAATCTCTATTATTATTGATCGTTACTTACTCAAGATAGTGATTTGTATGTGGTCACAAGAGCGACTTCCGAGCAAGGGATCTCGGGTTCGATTCCCGGGTCGGCCAAATTACTACTGGGTTTAAAAAAAAATCTATAGTATGGAGTTTGGAATTATGTCCAGTATATGGAAAGAGGCTCACCCCTATTACATGGGACTCATAAATAGTGAAAAGTGTGTGTTATATTGCACATTGGCATTAAGTGTCGTAATGTGCATCTCTCCTTAGTAGATAAAAGGTTTGATGTTATGTTATTTTAAAATTTATATATCTAGTAAACAAATCTCGAGAAAGTAATTGAGACTGACTATAATATAGTCAGTAATATATAGTATTATTATGATTTCATTCAACTAGAAATATAGAACTGACGTGTTCGTAGTCTTTGTCAGTCTGGTAACCATATTTCCGACTATACTATCGTCACACTACTTGTAGTAAAGGATTCAGTTTAATATATGTACATAGTTTTCGATTATCGACAGACAAACCTGTTTACCTGAGTTGTCAAAGAGTATATCGAGTACTGCTTAAGTATTAAGATTCAAAATCACAATACCATTATATCCATCCCTAAAATATAAGACTAGTAGACCTCAAACATCGACACAAATAAAATTCTACTATTAATAAGCAATTCTGTATGTCTGTACACGAATTTCTCGCTCGATATGCTGATAATATCCCTTCGCAGCCTTCGAATTAAATATTTCAAGGCGAGATCTGTCTGAAGGCATTATTTATCCATTTATGTGCGAATTTCTAAGCAACGTTTCTTTGTTCTTTGACTTTCTTGGAAGAATTTTCGATGTTTTTTTCCTTTATACTTTTTGATTGTAATGGAATGTTTTACATTTTGATTGTAATGGACAGGTAAAGGGTGTACGTGTTACAACACCTTGTTTTGTATCTTACATAACATAACATCACGCTTTTATCCCCGAAGGGGTAGACAGAGATGCACATTATGCCACTAGATAATGTAACACCCACTTTTCACTATTTATGTTATGAGTCCCATGTAATAGGGTATGAGCCTATTGCCATATATTGGGCACAATTCCAGACTCCGTGCTACTACTGAGATTTTTTTTAAAAACCCTGTCATACTTTGTCCGGCCAGGGAATCGAACCCGAGACCCCTTGCCCGGCAGTCGCAGTTGCGACCACTCGGCCAACGAGGCAGTTACAGTGTTTTGTAACTTAATGACTGATTATTATTTGTTGTTATGGACTTGACCAAGACAAAAATATGGTAGTTCGTATCTCCTATGACACAATTAAACTTTGTTCTGAGGGGATATAATTTTAGATACCGTAGTCCGTTAGTATGCACACTATGATCCCCTGTTCATAGTGTGCGTATTTTGGAGCATATGACAATGTAGCACATGATTGTGACACTGATAATAAAAGTACAAACATCTAGTTGATTACCCAAAGGTTTATAATATAGTTTGTAGCCCTATTGGGATTTCCCAAAGCACTAAAACTACGACCTCAACATACCCCACCAAAAATAAAAAGAACAATTTTCAGCCATTAACAGAAGAAACCTACTTATCATTTCAACCAAAAACTGTCAGCTATCAGGTCTCAACCGCAACAGTCCACAGATTTTTGGACCCAAAACTTCTGTGGTCACATCCTAGTTAGAGTAGTGTTAAATTGAAAATTTTGTATAATTAAAATAGTTTTGTCTTTTCTGTGGACCCTTGCGCTGAGTTGTGACACGGTGAAGGACATTCTACTGAAAGGACAAAATGGCTATTGTGTATTAAAGTTTGGAGATCTCTGCGTTTGTGTATTTGAGATATAAATTAAATGGTTGGATTTTGTCAGTTACGTAAGTTACGTAATTGTGTTGGTTTGGTATTTATAACCTCTTTTCTATAACTGTTTTGTTGCTGTCATTTATAAATATATTAATAATTATGATTAACTAGCTTCTGCCCGCGACCCGAATCCCGTTTTCTCCCATTAGTAGTATTTTAGGATTTTTCTGTCTTAAGAACCTTCTCCCAATAATTTTTTTTTTTTTTTTATGGCATAAGCCGGTAAACGAGCAGACGGATCACCTGATGGAAAGCAATCGGCGTCGCCCATGGACACCTGGAATACCAGAGGCGTTACAAGTGCGTTACCGGCTATTTGTGGATTAGGAGTTTGAGGATTGTTGGGGATTCAGGGATTGGGGAGATTGGGGAAGGGGAGGGAAATTGGG